ATTAACATTTGTAGATAAAAGCTAAGTCACTATTTCTGCTTCATTCAATGTAAGATTATAGCAGCTGTCTTTTTTTTTTTTTGTCAGACTTCTAGTACTAAGACCTGTATCTGTACCCAGTCCTTTAAACCTACCCCCAACTCTGTAAAACAATTACGAGCACAAGAAGCAAAAAATGTGACTCGTTTGAGATTAGCTCTGAAGTTTGCCCCAAATAGCCCTGTCCAGCAGCAGTCTTATGGTTTTGGGCTGGTGGGGATCTCCACTGCCCTCTGCACAAGCAGCACAGTATCTTTGCTGGACTTGTGTGTGGATTGTGTGTGCATAGCTGCCCCTAGCACATGAAAGAAATACAACAGATTATACTGAGGATTATGAAGTTGTAGTAGGGGTGGACACTGTTATTGTCAAGGCAAGAGCCACCACAGCCTAACTCCTGCTCTATGCCATGCGTTGTAACTGCAGCCAAAGACACACTGCTGTGCACCAGAAAGCACAAGAGGATCCTACACTGGCTGACCCAAAACAACGAATGCAAACAGCTGAGGTTGCTGTGAAAGAGGAAGCTGGGGTACAAGTGCCAGTTCAGCTCCTTTATTGCAACCTTGCACTTGCACAAAGCAGAGGAGGGCAGTTGCAAGCAGGTAAGTTAGCATGGAAAAAACCCACAAAACAAATACTGCTTGTTGTTCTCCTTTATCTAGATTGTACAAAATCTCTTGTAATGTGTTATAACCTGGAGGCATCTTCTGGAGAGGCACAGATTCCCATGAGGAATGTGAAGTGGTGCTCTGCAAGGAATCAGTGTAAATTTGTGAACTGTGTTTCTACTTAAATAGCTTTTCTCTCTTTGGCCAGGTGTGGCAGGAAAGCCTACCCCCAATAAGACCTAAAATCCAACACAATGCAAGCTATCAAACTGCTGGTGCCAAGGGAGCTCTCTTGGTATTAAAATATGCTAAGACCATCCTGGTTCACCAGACCTTGAACACACATCCTGCTATTGAAACAGTATTTGACAGATAAGCTAGTCTGCTGGCTAGTAGATCTGTGAGTAGCAGTCAGTGACTTTATACCAATAAAGTCCAGCCCCCTTGCATACAATTAGGTTCTTCTAATACAACCCTTCTTGGGGTGTATGTGTGGAGATTCCTCCCTTGGCTGGGCATATCCTCCAATGTTACTCCTAGAGGCTGAGAGAAAAAGATCTCCCCATGAGCATTGGTATGGGTGAGTTACATCAGATCTCTACTTAATAATTATTTCTTTCTGCTTGTTTTAATATAACTGCTTCAATAATTGCTTTGTTACAGTGCACTATACTACTTTATGCTATACTCCACTGGTAGATTTTTAGTGTTTATATTGTGTAGTAAATAGTTCTGATTAAGATCTTTTGTCTGATCATTTGCATAAAATGAATTATTCATTTTATATAAATATTCTCATTTTGCCAATCTATAAATATTCTAATTTTGCCAAAATTAAAACATGCGGGACAAAACTTGTTCAATCATACCTCTAAAATTCCTTAAGTTTAAACCATTAACATAATCTGAGGCTAAGATTGGGTTTAGCTGCACCTGGACTCCTCTCTGAGATGGGGTTTAGAAAGCAAGGAAGTCCTTTCCGTACCTCAAAACTCATTGGCAAGACTTTGCTTTTTAATAACTTTGTCTAAGACTTCCACTCCCACCCGTGACACCAGGTTAGGAGAAGGTAGATGTCTTCAGTACTAAAACACACTAAGAGAAAATTCATATTAATAGCAAATTATCAGGATGTTGACACCAAATTTTGGACTGGAAGGTGAGAAGGGGCAGAACTGTCCAGGGCTTCTGGATTAGAGCTGAACTACTGCCATGGTCTGAGCTGAAGCCTTACCAATTTGAGGTCATATCCTCAGATAGACTGACAAGGCAACAGCTACTGTGTATTTCCGTTTCCAAAGGAAGAAAGTATAATAATTTCATTCCTAAGAACTGGTACTATTGGAAATGCTTCCATAATATTCTTAGGTAAAACAACAGATGCCTAAGTAAATAAGAAAGTATGGCAATGCTCCTGCTTGTGAAGGTCTGAATAAGTCAGTTCAGCATAAGCAAAATTTAGAACATGTATTCAAATCACCAGTCTGTTTAATGTTTATGTGCAAAGAACATGCTAAACAGAGAGACATGACATCCAAATACTCATTTGCCAGTGGAAAAATAGCCCCAAGTTAATACATGAAAACAATTGTACATCTTCAATGTTAAATGAGCAGGAAACATAAACAAGACTAAACAAAAATTAGCCTGAAACCTGTGATGCCACACCAAAGGAATGAGAGTATGATAGAAAGAGGTAACTTTTCAGTATTATCATTTTATATCTATACCTTGTCTTTTCAACAGAGGCTGCTCAGATTCTCAGTTACACCTGGCAAGTGATGAAGTGTGATGATCCTTTGATTCACAGGTAGTACACAGCACAATAATATTTAAGAAGACTCTTGTGTCTTTCACTCCTTTAAAAAAAAAAGAAAAGGAAAATTATTATATGTTGGTAATGGAAAAATCAGTCCTTTGAGAAGGGGTTTTTGCAGCTGTGGAAATTTCTGCAAAGTTGCCTCTTTGCACAAAGACAAATTAAGTATGTAAAGCTGGTACAAGTCTTTTTCTTTTTTTCCTCTTATTTATTAAACCTGTTCTGGAATAATAATTCTACATACAACTATTGCAGATTTTCCTCCTTACTAATACCTTCTTTTATATACAATATATTTTTATATAACTTAAAAATTTATATCATTTATATAATTTAAAAATATTTTAAAACTTTTTTATATCTTATTTTTCATTTGCATTCCAACTTATTGCTGAAGGATTTTCAGATTTGCAGCAAAAGGAGATATATCTCCAGATGTAGTATGTTTTTTTTTCTTTCTTTCTTCTCCCCTGTGTACATACTATTCTAGAAGAACATTTAACAAAAAGACTATTCAGTATAAAAAACTTCCTCATGTAGAACTGCAGTAACATGATACACCACACACCCACTTGTGTAGTCTTTATCAATAACAACAGAAACAGCATCGTGATAAAAATGTATGTGATTTAACTCAGTCATTTGGGGAGCATATTTATTCAAGATCCTTCAAGCGGAGATGAATAGAAGGTTTCTAAATGTGATATTATGAGGGTAAGCAAATGAGTCATTGTTTGTATTCTAGTGAAATAGAGTTGGGCAAGAACAACACTAGGAGAGGGAATAAGCAGTCATATCTAACTGTTTATTCTATTACATTCATCACCACGGGGTGTATCTGTGCATGTCAGGTCAAGGTCAGTGATCCTTGTTCACATGAATCATTCTCAGTGCTAATGAAAAACACCCCTGATGCAGCGTGTTCAAACACCATCAGCTTCAGCAGTCCACACTTCTGACTCACTTCTGCAAGTCGGAATTCACAGGTGAGGCAGAACTGCTGGAGCTGGGGGAGTTCAGGGCTTGGGATGGATAAGAGTTCAAAAGGGGCTGTTGGAAGAGATTGGCAATGAAAAGAAAAAGGATAATTTGTAACTAGAGGACAAAACAGTGCCATTATGTAGCAGGCTAAGGCTCCTTTACACCTTGACTGTTTGAGTTTCAAAGCCAAAGAGTCTTTCAAAATTAAAAATGAATTTAGAAAGTGCAGCTTGGTTCTGAGTCAGTTTCCAAATAATAAGTTTTAAAGTTATGATAACAATAAACCCTAATTATCTTTCTCCACAAGTTTCTTGAAGCCAAGGAAAGAGAGATGGAATATAGTGGCACAGAGAGAAGGGCTTATTAGTTGACAAGGTGGTTAGGTCATAGGTTGGACTTGATGATCTCAGCGGTCTTTTCCAACCTACCTGATTCTGCGATTCTTCTCCCCCGTCTACCTGCCCTTCCAATCAGTACAAATTCTGCAAAATTTTCTTTGTATTTCAATGTCCAGACAGAAAGAAGGATACACCTTGTGAAAGTGTTGATTTCACGTAGATATATATGTGTATGAAAAATTAAAAATTGACCATGGAAAAACTTTTCAGGGCTGTTGCAGTGACTACTAGAGTTTGATATGCAAGTGGGTTTATTACTAAGATTGCTAACAAAAGCTATATGCGTTATTTGTACTTAGGAAACACCCTGTTCTGCCAAATCCTTACGACTAAAAATGCATTTCAAACTACGTTTTCTTGTCCGAAACTTGCTAAAATTGTATCTCTCTGCGCCTGTAACTTTTTAATCATTACATCTGATGTTAAGACAACAAATTTCAGAGAACATTCTGTATCTTACATTGCAGTAATCGTTTTACAGAAATTTTGGCGGCCCCATGCAGAAGCAAGGGGAGGAACTCGGCTGGGGGGGAGTCCCCGGGACTCTAGCGAGGAAGAAGAGGGTACTCCGCGGAGGTGAGGGAGGGAGGCAGGCAGGCTGCTGTCTCACCACACATGGGCTTGTGGGAAGTGGGAATCTCAGGTTGAGTTACTCATCGGTATGGAGTCAGGAGTGTGCACAACCAATGATTTTGATGGCAGGAGGTAACGTACACATGTTTTTCAGAGAAGGTGCTGCGGGAGGACTAGCCAGCGGGCAGGAGGAGGTTTGTGCCGAAGGCTGTCATTTGCCAAGCGTGGAAGCCTTCTGGTCCCGGGAGCCCATCGCCGCCGCCTCTGATGCTCTCCCTCCAGACGGTACGAAGCGAGGGGGCGGCGCACGGACCCGGCGGGGCAGGGGGCCGGGGGCCGGGCGCCGTCCCCGGGGAGCGGGGCGGGGGGCGCGGGGCGGTGCTGCCCGGAGCTTGGTGCTGCCCGCCCGCCCGCGCTGATTGACACCGGCCCGGGCGGAGGCGGGTCCGCCGGGACAGCGCTGTTCCCGCCGCCCTTCGCCGCCGCCGGGCAGCGGGTCCCGCGCTCCAGCGCCGCCCCCGCGCTCTCCCGCTGGGAATCGCGGAGCGCGGCCGCCCGCGGCATGGCCGGCTGGCTGGGCAGGGGGGCGGCGTGCTGGCGGATGCGGAGCGCGGTGGGAGGCAGGAAGGAGAAGCCGGCGGGCGGCAAGCCCCAGCCCCGGCACGGTAAGCGGGCGGCCGCGGCGGGGCTCGGCAGGGCGCCCACCGGGGCGGGACGGGCAGTCCCGAGGTCCGCGCGGGGCAGCCCCGGGGCCAACTTGCCTGTGACTTGTTTTACCCGCTCGGCTCCTGTGGGGCAGGGGGATCCTTTTCTCCTTTCCCCTCCAGCGGGCGCGGAGGGAGAGGAACTCCCTGCTCCCAAATTCCGCGGACTACGCCTCATGTCTTTTATTTGCCGAGGACAGAAGAGAGGAACAGTGTTCGCGTGCGTTTTGGCATCTTGCTTTGATAGCGGCTCTTTGATTGTTTTTGTAGAAAGCATTTGCAACCTGGCAAACGCCAGTGAACCTGGGAAGAGTCCCCGAAACCTCTTTTGGCTTTCATGATCTTAATGCCCGGAAAGCACCGTTGAAAATATTGCCCTGTGTGGTCTTGTCTCCTCCTCCGTTCGGGGAGATAGATGCTCCCTTCCGAGGCTAGGCAGCACACAAATAGTTCTTCCAAAATCAGATCCTGACTTTGAAGACATAGAAGGGAGTGGTGTTGCACGAAGTATTGAAAACAAGTGTTGAGGTTCATGACCCTTGTGTTCTGAACACTGAATGCAGTTTATCCAGAGCCAAATCTGCCATGTACGGTTTCCTTTCTGTACTGCTTGGCTGTCACCGTTGTCTGCTTTGAGGAACAAACCCAACTGTTTGTGGATCTGATTGCAATATCTGGAAATCTCACTAGAATTTGTTCTAGCTGTGTGTTCCCCTTGGGTTTTAAGTCCTGTGTTCGGGTAAGTGGGTTTGCAGAAGTCTCTGACCTAACCCCTAAAGGGTAAAGTAACAGTTTAAGTTGTGCTTGAGTTCTGCATTAATTTGTGTTGGTTTGTTTTGGATATGTTAGTCCCCAAAGTAACTTTATGTCTTTTCCTGAGAAAATAATTGAAGGAGTAATTTGTACTCTTCACAAGTCCACAGGGCACTGTAGCTCATGCAGTAATCCTGATGAAAAAGATGTTGGGACGATGGGGAGCCTGGCATCTCAGGTGATGGCGTTTTGAGAAGATGCTTGTTATGAAAGTAATACCCCCAGTGCAGGTCTAAAATGAAAGAAAATTCAGCGTTTCTCTCACTGCCTGTCACCTGGATATTTCTGAGCCAGAGTGCTTGTACAGCAACACCTCCTTTTCTGTTTTGCTTCTTTGTGACTGCTTCACAAGCCAGAGGAAGCAGACTAAAAGTCTCAATAAAGATTATCTAGTTAAAGAATAAAAGTGGCTGTTTAAAAATAGTTGTAAATATTTATCCTATTAATTCTGAGTGTAATGCTGCTTGTGGGGGAATAACTCACATGGGAAAAAGAGTTGATGGGATTCCTTTAAACTGTATACCTGTTATATGTGGGTATTATACAGTAGCTAGGCACACAGACCAAAACTGTGGATGTAGTGAAGTTGGTGGGATTATGCCACTGAATTGAATTGAACCCACAGATGGTGTGGTGTAATGTGTTGGACCAAACTGTAAACATTTGACTGATTCAGCTATGCAGTTGTGGCAAAGTTTATAATCCTGCGTATGTTGCTGTGATTTATATATTATCAATGTAGGTCTACCATTAATTAAATTAGGGAGTTATTTTATAACTTAGTTCTAATTCACCTTAAGAAAAAAGGTGTGGTGTGTTTCAGTCTATCAGGGTTGTTTCTTATGAATGTTTTCTAAAGTATTATATGACACTAAATTCTCATTTAAGTAGTTGCTGCATCAATGTGGAACACTAAATTACACTGCAGCCCATAGAGTTTGCATCCCAATTAGTTTTCAACTGTGATTTAAAAATAAGCACTCTTTCTGCTATATTGTCTTTGCAGGGCATCCTAGATTTAGTTACCTGATTATTTACTAACCTTTAACAGCTCCAAATGTAAGGTAAAAAAGTGAAATTAGACCTAATTTGCATGTCCCTGATACTGCTTGTGTGCTATAAGGAAATTTTTGGGTAGAAAACCAAAAATCACTATTACTTTAGTATGCATCCAAAAATTTCAAAGTTACAGAAACAATCTGTTTTCCAAGAAGGGACTTTTAAGTAAATTTCAGCTTTTGTAAGCAGTATTGATCAATTCATGCAGGAATGGAAAATTTACTTCAAATGTTTAAGCCAAAGCATTAGAGAGGCTATAAGTAAGATATATGTAAAAGTAAAACTGTAGTATATGAGCTGTCGACACTTTTTAACTGGCAAACAGACTTACAGGTTTGAGTCATTCATGTGTGCATGCATGCAATTATCAAAGTGAAGTGAGAACTATTCACAAGAGAACTGGGATGTATCAGAACTATGAATTACTTTCTATATTGGGCAGTAATATTCTTTCCTACTCTCTGGTTTTGCTGCAAAACCATTTCAATGGGCTACCAGCCTGTGTTGGTAAAAAGTGTCATAGCTCTATGGATCTCAATGGCACTGTTATGATTGATACAAGCACAATATTTCTGTGTATATTTGGATTAAGATATGTTTATTTGGGCATCACTTAAGGGTCTAAATTGGCGGGGTGCATATTGGGTTGCACCTGAGCAAACCTGCCATTTAACTGAGCCAAGTTACAAATATTTTTCAGCTTTGACATTCTTCTCACTTGTTAGCTGAGGAATTATGGAGACTTTTTTATACTCTTCAAATACTTTAAAACACAAATATGAAAATTGCCCTGTGATCTCATGTGCAGAAGTTCTTGTTTTACACTTCTTGTAGTTTCATACCATGTAAAGCAATATAAAGTAGAACTAGCATTTCCACCCATTGTGGTCTAGACAGTAAATTAAGTTTTTGTCAAGACTCCAGCAAAAAGTTCAAGATCCTGTTAAAATTATTAAAATTAATGATCTTGTAAAAAGCCTATTTTTAAATGATTTAATGTTGGGTTTGCGTTGGCACCTTATCTGTAAAACTTCCCTAGAGCTTGAAAACTGAGCTGGACAGCTATAGCCAGAATTCTATTACAGACACTCTCTAGGCAGAAGATGTTAAGGAGTAACATAATGAAAACCACAGTGCAAATCAAGTAATATTTTACTGTACTGCTTAAGAAAACTTTGAAATTCTTATATGAAAAAATCTCCTCCCTTGAGGAGTAGATATGGAAAGTTTGTGACTAGAAGTTGTGAAATCAGAAATATGTTTTAAATTACTTGATACCACCAGAAATAACTTATGGAGAAAAAGCAAGCTTTAAAAGGTATATAAAATATATGTGAAAGTTAGTATTAAAACAATTACCAGGGAAAACCAGCACAAGTAAATAGTGCTGGAGGAAGGTATAGGAGTGTGTTTGTGCACATGGGGTGCAGTTTTGGGCAGAAAACGACTTCTTAATTTATTTGATTTTTTTAAAAATCGCTCACAAAATGTGCCAAATTTAGACTGGGAAGTGGAAGTCCTCTGTGCTTCAACCAGCACAGTGAAATCAGTTTTCAATGCCAATATGCTGGATCATGCCAAGGTAGGATGGATGAATGAATGTGAGCTATAGCAACGCAAACCTCTTTTTCACCTGGACCCACTGACTAATTTAATTTTCACCTGTTGAGCTGTCACAGAACAAGACAAAAACTGTTGTTACCTTTTTTGTTTGGTGTAATGGAAAGGTTGTAGTATGGCAAGGGTAGAAGTCAATATATTATCACTGCAGAGAAGTGGGCTCTTCTAAAGGTGTTGAACTGATGAGAGAATGGAGAGAGGGGGGGAAAAAAAACCCTACAAACCTGTCCATTGTTTTCTCCTTCTATAAACCCTGTTGTATGCACGTATGCTAACAACTCCTGGACTGGACTAATTCCACACCTGACACTAGGGTAATGAAGTTGTACTCGAGCTTTCCAGTTTCAGATGTTCTCATCTTTGCACATTTCTTCTTGAAATATTCAACAGTGTGTTTCAGTATTCTCTGTTGGCTTCTTCCTTTTTTTCCTTCTCTTTCTCCTGGGAAATAATGTTCTTGGTCATATTGAGGCAGTCATAACCAAATCTGTTTTGGTGGAGGTGTAGTTCTCCATGCCTCACTTTTTACACGTGCCTTATTGTAGTATTTGTAAAAATAAATGTCTAAAATTCATGTACGTGTTTGTATATATATGTTTACATATATACGCTTAATATAAAGAAATAGAAATTTTCTTCTTTAAGCAAGTAAACAAATTCTCTGGGATCAGCGGGAATAATCTGCAGGTAGACTTTAAATATTAAAGTATTTTTCTAGCCTATGTGTTGAAGAGGTGTGAATATTGATGTTATTTCTGTCTAGATATACTGACGCTTTGATTCCAGAAACACTTTTGGGGTCTCACTAGTCAGTGAGTGTGTTTGCTGTGTGTAATGCAGACCTTGCTGTGAAGGTCAAATGGATGGATAAAGGGTTTGACCTGGAGAATAAGAAGGGCTGGTTTACCAAACATATTTTGACTTGCTTAGTCTTTCCCTCTTTTCCTTGATGTAAGTGCTAGCTGTTCTGTTTTTTTTTTTTTTTTTTTTTTTTTTTTTTTTTTTTTTTTTTTTTTTTTATTTTTAT